CTCTCCTTTCCCAGTGCCCCAGGGGCATGAGTTCCTGCGACCCATCAGGCCTTGAGAGAGACTTGTCACCTTCAAACATGCATTAAAAGGAGCGCTTACATCCTCTGCCTTCCCCACTCCCCTACCCCTCGTCAATGTCTGGGTGGGTCTTTCCCATCAGTGTCCTATTTGTAAAGGTTTCTCTCCCCCTTGGTCCTGTGTGAAAGACCCACACAAATAACCAGGCCTGCCAACGTGGGGGGCAAAGGGGGCAATTGCCCAGAGGTCACAGGTCTCCTAGGCACAGGTGGTTGGTCCTGAAAGTGAAGAATTCATCACTTCCACCCCTGGCCCTGCACCCCCCTAGGGACGCCTCTGGGGCCTGTAATTGCTGTCTGCAGGCCTGCAAGCAACAGGGGAAACTGATGCTACCCGCAGCGCTGGCATGTGCACAAAATAACACACTGAAAACAGAGGGGATTGTATTTTTCCCCTGATCTCTGTGAGCTACAGTAGCCTTAGGCAGGACCTGTAATAACAGCAAGTCAAAATGTTCAAACAAAGCATGATTTTCAGGTTGACGGTATCCTTTATGTTTTCCAGCAGAGCTGTCACTCAGTGTGCATCCATACACCCATACCTTTCTAAAGCTACTACAGTACAATCTCGGAGTTACGGACACCTCGGGAACGGAGGTTGTTTGTAACTCTGAAATGTTCATAACTCTGAACAGAATGTTATGGGTGTTTTTTCAAAAGTTTACAACAGAACATTGACTTAATACAACTTGAAACTTTACTATGCAGAAGAAAAATGCTGCTTTTAACCATTTTAATGTAAACGAAACAAGCACAGAAACAGTTTCCTTACCTTGTCAAATCTTTTTTTTAAACTTTTCCTTTTTTTTTTAGTAGTTTACATTTAACAGTTCTATACTGTATTTGCTTTTTGTTTGTTTTTGTCTCTGCTGCTGCCTGATTGCATACTTCCAGTTCCACATGAGGTGTGTGGTTGACTGGTCAGTTCGTAACTGGTGTTTATAACTCAGGTTCTACAGTATCTTGTTCTCCAGAATCTCACTTAAAAAAAACTCCCTCGCTGTTATGGTTACAAAGAAAAGAGAACAGGAGTACTTGTGGCACCTTAGCAACTAACATTTTCAAGCATCGGCAAGAGGGAACCAAGTAATTAATTTTGAATCTCTCTCCATTGTGAAAAGTCTCACTTTGGCAGCTCCAATGGGCATTGCGTACAAGAATACAAACGTTCCCCCCCAAATGTGCCCCCTGCTGTTGTCACTCATCCCAGAGCTTCCAGGATCATCCCCTCCCCAACTCCACCCCCTGCTGCTCTGTCTCATCTCCCTCCCCGTCCCCAAGGTGCAAGGTGATGTTGCAGCACAAACTTGATCATGGAAGGAGATAGGACCTGTAAGACACAGAGTATGGTGGCCACTGGAGAAGAGGACTCTTGGATGTACTCAAGCATGGGTTAAAAAAAGGCATCCAACATACACCCTTGTCAATTGTTCATTTAATGTTTGCAACATGCCCTACGTGGGAAGCAACAATAGAAGAACTAACACCATCTGTACCCCTCAGTCTTCTGGGGAGGGACTGGGAAGAACTATTATTTATTATTTGTGTTATGGTAGCACCACGGAGCCCCAGTCGTGGTCCAGGATCCCATTGTGCTAAACACAGAACAAAAAGATGGCCCCTGCCTCAAAGAACATAAGCGCTTCCAGACTGGGTCAGGCCATGGTCCACCTTGCCCAGCATCCTGTCTCTGACAGTGGCCCATTCAGGGGGGAGTGCATAGAACAAGGCAGTTATGGAGCATTCCACCCCGTTGTCCACTCGTGGCTTCTGGTCAAAGGTTTATGTAGACAAGCCCTCACAGAGCGCAGGCACTTTCATTCCTCCCACCCTATATACTTTGTTATGGTTTTCATCCCAGTGTGCCCCATTAAAGCCCTTTTTGTGTGGAGAAATACTTTGACCAGGAGACTTTATGCATTTTTCCTATTAGCAATTACAGCTACAGTTAGGGATGATAGCCATTCCGGAGTTGAGATGTCAGGGAAAAGGATTACACCTCCATGCCAGCTCCTTATCCCATCCCATGCCCTCCCAAAGTTCTCCTCTGAACCATAGGCGTCGACTGCGTGGGTGCTGGAGCACCCATGGGGAAAAATTAGTGGGTGCTCTGCACCCACCGGCAGCCAAGCTCCCCGCCCCGCCTCACCTCCTCCTCCGCCTCCTACCCTGAGCGCACCATGTCCCCACTCCTCCGCCAAGCTTCCAGCACTTGCCGCCGCCAAACAGCTATTTGGTGGTTTAGCACGCTCCAGGAGGGAGGGGGAAGGAGCGGGAATGTGGCGTGCTCAGGGGAGGAAGCAGGGCCAGGGCGGGGATTTGTGAAAGGAGTCGGAATAGGGGCAGGGAGGGGGCGGAGTTGGGGCGGGGACTTTGGAGAAGGGGTTGGAATGGGGACAGGAGGGGGCGGGGCAAGGGTGGAGTCGGGGCGGGGCCGGGGGCAGCGGGGGGGTCGAGCACCCACCGGCGCGAGTAGAAGTCGGCGCCTATGCTCTGAGCCATGTGCTCGACGCAGCTCATGGTAACGGAGTGGTGGCTGTTCACACAGTAAATGTCTTGTCAGCGTGTCATATCGATACTTGCACAGCCTCCTTTGGGTTCACACCAGGAATCAGACCTTTCCATTTGCAGCCTCTCTGAAGTTCCAGATGGGCCTAAAGCATCCATCTATCATGGCAAATGCACTGTCAGTGCATTTACACGTGTCACAGCCCATTGCTGGGATAGACCCAAGTGGAAATATGCCTCATTACAGTCAACCCGGCTGCTGGCCCAGCGGTGCAATTGATTGGTTCCCCTCTCTGTCCCATTACCTTGGTTCTCTGGCTCCTACAAACCCATTGCACTGTGGGTTGTCCACATGATGGGCGGCTGGTATTTATTTAATGAGTGTCCCCAGAACCTTTCTGTTCAGTGCTGTTTTTCCTTTTCCCGCAGGCTGCCTGACTTCAGTAATGCAGACCTTGACTCCAGCTCTGAAGCCGACGTCCCCTGTGAGAATTGCTGCTTTCTCCAGGATAGATATGTTTAGTGCCTCCCACAGACTGGCCTGGTAACTAGCTCTCTATGTTGTATGGCTTAGACGTTCAATGCAAACTGCAGGAGAGATCTGTGTTCTCAGCCATTGACTGGTGATTGGTAGTTGGGAGGGGAATGCCACGCTGGCTCTATCTGGCATTAGCTAAGATGTTTTGCTGGGATCGGGTAGTGAGCTGCACACAGCTTTGCAGAACTGGCATGCTAGCGAGGGAGCCGGATGCTTCTGAGTTCATCCGTATCTTTGTTACGTAAAGGACAGGAGATGTTTGTGGGCCCGTTACTCTGCAGCGAATGTGGTTGGAGACAAAACTGCATTGCCTTGACTTTGACTTCCCCAGTTAACGATGCTGGACTGTGTACAGCTCTCTCAAATCCAAGCCAGTCTCAGAGGTGTGAGGCCCCTGGCACAAGGCTCAGAGAGCCCCTCACGCCTCTCCCCTGCAGCATTGGCAGCTCCACATCAGGAGTGTCCCTGACTAGGTCTCTGAATCAGCATTTTCCTCCCCCAAAGCCAGTGCAAGGGCAGCCTGCAGTGCTGCTTACTGCTGGGGTTCCCGTCTAATGTCTTTTTCAGGGCAGCTGACTGGACACACTAGATTTATACTGGGCTCCTTCGGGTCCTGCCCCAGGGCTTTTGTCACCCTGGCAGCCAGAAAGAGGTGTGCAGACGCCATGCGGGGATCTGCCATGTGGCAGTGGGCTGCTGCTGTTCTCCAGCCTTCCTGGCTCCTCTTCCTGCAGTCTCTCCTTCTCCACATCTCTCCACTCTGTGGTGATGTTAGCCTTTTCTCTCTAACACTCACTGCCTTTAGCTGCTGGGCGTCTCACTGTCATCTGAAACGCAGTATGGCTAAACCTGGACTCCCAAGCTTCCCATCCTGCTGCCTCCCTCCTCTGTCACTGTAGAACACTGGCTCTCCTCCTTTCCAGACTACTGGACCCCTTTCAGGAATCTGATTGGTCTTGCGTACCCCAAGAAGGCCAATAGAAAAGCTGAGAATGACTTCCGGTTATGAGTGGAGTGCATTGGCAGAACTAGGGTGGGTACCCAGGGCTGGAAAAGCAGGGGGGTGCTGTGGGTCAGGCCCAAGGAGCATCAGCAGAGCTGAGTGTGGGGATCCAGAACTAGAATGACAGAGGATACTGCAGCTCAAGAATGCAGGGTGGTGTTAGGTGAAAACCTGCCTTGATCAACATGATTATCTATCTAGTGGCTTTATTAGCTAGGATCTGTTATCAGCGGCCAAATTTTATTTCCCCAAAACTTTGAGCATCAGGCTTATTTCTAGCTCAACATTATTTTCTACTTCCTCCTTCCTTGCTGTACCTGTCACCTTTTCATTCATCCCACATAAGTAATGCTAGAGATATTTTGTGTGAATCTTGCCCATGGGGCCAATAATTTGACTTGGGTTTTGTTTGTTTTATTTTTCCAGTGGTGGTGACTGTGCATGGAGAAGGGCAGCAGGGCGTGGATTTGGGTCAGGCCAGGGGCATCTGGCTGCACTGGTAGAGCTGGCATGAGTCCTGGGTACGGTACGGAAAAGATCATTGTACAGCAGTACAAAGACAAGTGGCCCTGTGCCGAGTCAGAAAGCAGGGCACCAGTCAATGAAGCCTCCTTGACATCATTCCTGCCCATTCCATGTAGTTGTGGGGCCTGGCTATGACTTGAACCCCGTCCATACCATGTGGCCTTTGTGCCAGACCAGCCACTTCTCCCAGCTGATCATTAAAGCCCAGGAAACGCTCTGCAGCCTGCTCAGGCGCTTGATTGGAACAGTTTAGATGCCATAACTATTCCCCAGTGGCTCATCATTGCATGTACTTATCAAGAGATGTCAACTGTGCCTGTGATTTCCTTTCCTGTGATTTGCCCTGCAGATTGATCATAGCTCAGGGATGGTTATAAACCTGACAGACCTGAAAGAGTACATGCAGCTGATAACAAGGTACTTCCGGAGCTCAGACATGGGAATCTATTATGATTTTTGATGATAGGCAGCTTTGGAAGTGGGGAGGTGTGGGGCAGTAGGATAGTATTTTGGGAAATGGGGAATAGTAGCTGCGAGGGTGTGGAAGGTGATGTGTCAATACATTCCCTTTATGTGATCTTCCAGTCCCCTGGGAATCTTGGTTTTCTCACTCCTCCCAAGCAACACGGCTACCACCCTGTTAGAGCCGGGAAATTCCAGGGAGAGGGTAGGAGTTACTGAGTTTGTGTGATCAGCAGCAGTAACATGCCAAGTGTCAGAGTAAGTGAGATACAAAGACCAGAGGAACACTCAAATTTGATCATAGGCTAGACGTACAGTTAAAATTTATGTGTGAAAAATTCACATCTCTGAGCAGTGTAATTAAGCCAACCTAACCCCGAGTGTAGAAGCCAAGAGGTCGACGAAAGAATTCTTGGAGAGGTGGATTAAAGTACAGTGACAGGAAAACCCCTTCCATCGCTGTAGGAAGTGTCCTTGCTACAGCTGTAGCTGTGCCAGTGTAGCACCTGTAGCATAGACATAGCCTAAGGGCTGGTCTACACTGAAAAGTTACACTGGCATAGCTACATCTCTCAGTGGTGTGAAAAATCCACACCCCTGAAAGACCGAGTTAAGATGACCTCACCTCCCACGTAGGCAGTGCTATTACCTATGACAGAGAATCCCTCACTGTAGAAAAACATCAAAGTGTCTGAGGCCATGTCTACCGTATAGTGATTTGGTGTAGGCATTTACTATTGCGATTGGAGAGGTTCTCCTGTCACTGTAGGTAATCCGCCTTCCCAACAGGCAGTAGCTAGGTTGACGAAGAATTCTTCCATCAACCTAGTGTTGTCTACATCTGGGGTTAGGTCGGCTTAACTATGTCGCTCAGGTGTAGATTTTTCACACCCCTCAGAGAGTAGCTATGGCGATGTAACCTGGAAATCCTGGACGCCCCATCATCTTAGGCATTGGCACCCTAACATCAGGATTGTCTGGCTACGTGGACTCTCTCCTCAGGCCCTACGCTACCAGCACTCCCAGCTATCTTTGAGACACCACTGACTTCCTGAGGAAACTACAATCCATCGGTGATCTTCCAGAAAACACCATCCTGGCCACTATGGACGTAGAAGCCCTCTACACCAATATTCCACACAAAGATGGAGTCTTTGAGTCTTAAGAGTCTCATCTTCTCAGGAAAAGGCCCAGCATTAAAATACCTGGGACTCCTTTGCAGGCATGGCAGGGCCTTCCCTGGGAATTTAACTCAGAGTCCAGGGTCCCAAGAATTGAGTCTGTGTTGGTTAGACCATGCCACACGCTGGGCCTTCTGGGTCATAACCCATTGACGGGACCAGCATGTTCCCTCTCTTCCCATAGGAGACAATCATGGAGCTGCTTGACCACAAGAAACTGGATCAGGATGTGGCTTATTTTGCTGATGTTGTGAGGTGGGTAGTGGGGTCTCATGGTAAAACTGGATTTGGTGCCAGGACTGCCCCTGTTTCGTAAATGAGCACTATATATTGTCATCTGTGACTAGTTCAACTCCCTCAGTTTGGAGGAACTGATTACCTAACGGTGATCAAATACCTCCCCATTGCCTTGCAGCTGGGATCTGGATCTAACCTGCACTTACTGCTCCCTCTCTAAGTTGGGCCCTGTTTTCCCTGCAGTACAACTGAGAACGTGACAGTGTACACCTGGGAAAACCTCCAGAAGCATCTGCCCGCGGGGGCTCTTTATAAGGTCAAGGTGTATGAATCCAAGCAGAACGTCATTGTGTACAATGAAGAAGAGACAGCTCCACTGGCCTCAATGTGTGACCGGAGCGCACACTACGTAATCAGGGACTAGCATTGTCTGCAGATGAAATGAAGCTTTGCAATCAAGATAAAATCTACTGCACTGCAGATAGTGTCTGTTCCTGCTTCACTAACTGTGTCCAGTCTTGGTCTCTCGCTCCAGCCCACCCCCCGGCTGCTGCTGACATGTTGTGAGTGAACATTTTAAAGCTAATTTCCCCCAGAAACATAAACAACCAAGCTTATTGCAGACCCTAAACTGTCCCCTACTCCCCACTGAGGAGCGGAGAGGCAAGGGACCAGGGTAACTGTGTACCAGCAGGACACTCACCTCGAGTGCCTCCTGCTGCCGCTGTGCGGTACTGCAGTCCGTTTCTCACTCCTGGTGCCTCCTGTAGGTTGTTGACCTCACTTGGCAGGTCTTCACTGGCTCGGTCCTCAAACTGCGTCACACAGTCAAAATGAGCCCCTTCTGGGGTAGCAAAGAGTCCAACAAAACTGCCTGTCTGCCCTCACCAGGGTCTTCACTCATCCCCTGCTCTGGGCCCTTTAAATTCAGCCCTTTGCTTGGGCTTCCAAGCAAGCCTTGTCCCATTATCAGGGCTTACACCACTTCGCCAGTGGGGGAACCCAGGCCCACCCGCTGCTCCAGGTTCTGACCCAGGGACTCTATGAACAGCAGCCACGCTCCGCTCACTTTGATTCATTGCTGCTACTTCCCTGGACCTTTTCCCATCTGGCCCCTGTATCTTCACTCCTTGCTTCAGAACTCAGGGCCTGTCCCCCAGCTTAAGCCAATGCAGCCAGAACCAAACTCTGTTCACCCCTCGAGCGCCTGTGGCCAGAGAGCAGCTCCCAGACCCACCCCTCTGGTCCCTCCAGTCAAGGACTAATCTGCCTGGGCCCTGCAGCTCCTTTAATCTGGGCCAGTGGAGCTCTGATTGGCTGCCTGCAGGAGGCTTCTCTAGGCAGGTCCAAAGGACCTACCTTCTCTGCTGCTTTCCTGGGGCAGGGTGTAGTAGGACCCTGGGGCCTCCGGCAGGGGGCTAGGAATGGCCGGGTGTACCCCATCACCAGAAGGAATACTGATGACATTGTGTGAATAAACAGCCTTTGCAGACCACCCTTATGGTGTCTCCTTCAGCTGCTGGCTCTAAGGAACTGAGTACATATAGTGACCATCCCAGAGCAGGGCTGCAGCTAGTGAACTCCCTGGCAGGGCCGGCCAGAGGATTTAGGGGGCCTGAGGCAAAACGGGGGAGCTGCGGCGCTTGTACTCACCTGACAGCAGTCCGGGTCTTCGGCAGCAGGGGGCCCTTCAGTTGTTCCAGGTCTTCGTCAGACCCACTGCTGAAGATGCGGAGCGACTGAAGGGCCCCCCGCCGCTGATATGCCGCCAAAGACCCGAACCGCTGCCGGGCCAGGGCTCGCGGGGCCCGGGGCAAATTGCCCCACTTGTCCCCCCCTCTGGGCGGCCCTGCTCCCTGGGGGAGAGGCGTCAACAGAAGGAGTTCTTAGAGTAAGATACGGTGTGCACAGAGCACAGTCGGGTGAAGCTGCAGTTCAATGGCAGTGTGAACTTGCGCTACTGCTGGGGAGAGCAGGGCTCAGACACTGTTAGCTGGAGGCAACAGCACTGAGCTTGCAACAGTTAGGAATCGGAGCCTGGCACGGTGTAGTGCACCACCTACTGTCCAACCATCTGCAGTGCCTGAGAACTAGCTGAGAAATAACGACTCCATGAAGGGAGCGGGCTAAGGACTTGCAAGGGCTAGTAAACAAGATTGTGTAAACGAGGCTGATCTGGCCTGCAACCCAGGCTGCCAACAAGACTAGCTGCTCGAAAGGTAGAGAAATATGCCCCTCTGGCCGAAACCTTGAGAGCTAAGGGTTACCAGGTTCAGACGCACGCACTGATCATTGAAGCAAGTGCTGAGAGAATGTGGAATCAGTCAACGCTACGCTACGGCTGATGGAGCAACTCATGGTGTCGGACGCCATCAGGTGGTCGAGAGGCATCTACATAGAACACATCACCGGACATCGGCAGCACCAGGAGGGATGAGCTGGAGTGCCGATGAGAAGCGCAGTCAGGAAAGTAACTGAAATACTTTCCTCATGGATTGTATTTCCTAACTGGACAACCTACTTAATTCTCAATTACTGAGGGACAATCTCCATTCGTTATATTTTACTTTCCACAATCAAATCTCTGTACAACTCCTCATGAGTGATGTACCCAAGTATTCGGATTCTAATATCTAAACTGTATTGTTAAATCTATTCACCTAAATGTAGGTTATTGCTGATTATGTACTATCATATGACTTTAAAAACAAACTTTGTATTTGTGGATAATGTACGCACTATACCCAGATGTAGACACTCTTTTCTCAACCTATGTATTATATAATTTTTTTAACATTAGCTTTAATAAATTGTTTCCATCACCTGCATTCTTTTCTAGGGGATAGGTTTTATCCCTGTGAGAAGCTTGACTCTCACTGTATGTTGAACCAGACTTTGTTACAACTATGGGTCTGGATCCAATCTCCTCTGTATGACCTACCAGCCTATGTGCCTTTAACGTGTGCACCTGACACTTGAACAAAGGAAGATGAGAGATGGGAAAATTCCTAATATCTCATAGCGGCCCTTTGCTAGTGTTTTGTCCAGTCTCATTTCTCAGCCACTAGGGTTTTGCACCAGGAAAAGCTCCCAAGGGAAATGGTGACAGGACTCCGTTTTCCTTTGCTTTATTTCATCTATTGCTCCTAGTTATTCCCCCATGTATCTCTGGTCTGATCTAATTCCTCACCCTCCCTCCCTGCTAGGAGCAGTAGAAGGTTATGTCCCCCTGCAGTTAGTACTTAGCCCTGCTCTATTGATTGAGCTCTTTCCTTATAGTCAACCTCTCTGGCCCCTCAACCATTGTCATTGCTGTTCCCTTAGCTCTCTCCCACTTTACGGCTACCTTTCTGGTAATGGGATGGCCAGAACTGAACAGGATATATTTCAGGTGTGACGATAGCAGTGCCTTGTAAAGAGGGCCACTCTCCTCCCAACCCCCATTCAGAATCTCACTGCTAGGGGAGACATCTGCAAGAGACCAAACTCATGTCATTAGCTGCCTGCTTCGCATGCTGCAAGCATCTTTCCCCCACCCACATACAGACACATCTTGGACTGTTTCAGTATCCTTGTTCGCAGATTTCTCCTTCCCATTAAGCACCTGGGGGTTGGGTTACTTGTCCACAAATGTGTTAGCCTAAATTGAATCTTATTTCGTTTCCCGCCCCTAGAGCCTTTGGATTTCTCTGCCCTCCCTGGCGTCTGTGTCTCCTCACCATTTAGTGTTACCTGCTGGATTCATTGTTAGCTCTGGGCAAAGGGGCTGGATTGACATGGCCTGTCCCTGCTCTAAGCACCTCTGGCACAAGGAGGTGGGCGATGTCAGCTTCCTCCAGTCACAGCTGCTTTCCCTTGTCCTGGAGGCCCCTACACTTATTCCATCCGTGTGGCCCATTCATTTGTGGGTGCTATTTGCAGTAGTTGGGATGGCTCTGAAGGCCCAAGCTAAGGCCTGGTTTCATTTGGAAAGGGCTGGATTAGAGTGTTTGCAGTGAAACTGAGAGGGGGGCCTTGCCTATGGAATACTCTCCCCTGGCTTTGCCACAACCCTAGTTTCAAGCTCATTTCTCGTCCTTGGCTTTCTCTGGGGCATGGGGGGAAATGAGTAGCAGGATCAGCCTCCGGATAGAGCTTGTTATTTTGGGAGAGTTGCATCTAAATTGCTGTGCTAATTCGGTAATCTATTTCTTTATTTGGCCTCCATGCTGCTTTGGAGCTAGGTACAAAGCAGAGCAGGCTAGCTTGTGTGTAGTGAACGCCAGCCGCCAAAGTCCAGGGGTGGAGGCTGGGCTCTTTATTCAGGGAAGGGGGGTAGTGTAGCCGCTTCTCGGCTCTTTGAGCTCTGGTCAAGTGTAGTTTCTGAAGCAATACATGCCCAGAGAACTGGATTTCTGCCCCTTGCACCTGCATCAGCATGAACAACCGCAGAAATGTCTGGGTGGGGCCCTCTATGTTATGGAGGAGCTCAGAAGAGATGATCATAATGGTCCCTTCTGGCCTTTAAAATGTATGACTCGAGAAGTCCCTGAGCAAGAAGTGGAGCTCGTTCCCTAGCTACCAATCATTGTGAGCAGTCTTTTATTAGTAGAGCCAGACAGATAAGCTGCTGAATGTGGCCTCCACAACCAACCAACCAACCCGCTCCCTCTTCACCCATCCCACCACAACTAAAGCATCTGAGCATAAGAGACTTGCCCATCTATCTGAAAGATGAATGAATGAGAGTTATATTTGACCGGAGGAAGGTCAATTGATGCAATGCCCTCTAAGTGTGCCTAAGCAGAAAAATAAAAATAGCTGTGTTTGACACCTGCTGGTTTCACTGTGGATTGTCGGGGGCATGTGTTTGACCCACGCTGATTTCACGACAGGATGTGGTGTGGGGGCATATTTGATTCTTGCTGGTTTCACTGGGGGACAGGACGGGAAGGTGTGAGGGGCATGTTTGACTCACCCTAGTTTTGCTGTGGGCATATGTCAGGGTGTGTTTGCCCCATGCTGGTTTCACTAGGGGGCATGGCAGGGACAAAATAGAGGGGTGTTGGACCCACACTGGTTTCACTAGGGGTGCATGGCAATGGCATGGTTTAACATATGCAGGGTTTCAATGACAACACGGAGGAAGGTGTCATCCTTTTTCTTTGGGTAGTGATATTTGCACAGGCTGTTAGTGCACAGCGCACAGACAGACTGGAACTGACCTTTTCCAGCTGCCAAGTGGGGCAGCACCCTCTCTGCTCTTCTTGGCTGAGTTGAGACAGTTTCCTGAAGAAGCAGTGGCACACTTGGGACTCGGAAGAGGCAATTTTCCCTCCTTCCGTTGGTCCCGTCTCGCCGTTCGCTTTGTGCACTAAAACCAAAGCCAGCACTCCGAGCAGAGCTGCTGACTGGCCTCTCCCGCTCAGAGCACATTGCTGCTGG